CGTCTAGAGTAACTAAGTTATCGAGAAAAACAATCTACCCTAACAAAAGTCTATTTTGTTAATTTATTTATGTAACAAAAAATGGTATTATTTCATATACACGTTACTTAACCGATGTCAGGATATTATTTCTTCTTTAAAGTGGGGTTCGGCGCAACTGCAAAAACGAATACATGTACATCTTCTAGTTCTATTGCTAAAATGAGAGTCAGGCATGGTGGATCGATCAAACAAGGACATGTACATGTGGAACGATCAAGGGTCAAAGTTAAAAATACCACTGCGCAATCTTGACAAAAAAACACGGGCGACGCACGACAGACGACGCACGACAGGCAACGGCAGATATGGAAGTCTGTATGTAGCGCCCAAGGCAATTTGAGTTCAGCTCGATTCCCGTAATGTTTGTCTGAACCGAGTGTAAACCTTTTCTACATTCGGAGTGTATTTGGACCGTGCAGAGGCACCCCAAGAGTGTTCATTTTGCTGGTTGCGATGTAGCTGCAACGCTTGCGTTTCATAGTCGTTCGTTATAACCGGCGATGCGCAGTTACCAAAGGAACCCCCGTTTCGAGGAAACGTGCGCCCTCTTTGGTCCAGCGCGGAGCCCACAAGTGGGACTGGATGACAAAGAAGCAATGCATTTTATGCACAATCCTGCGGAAGACGTGTCCGCAAAACACACTTGTAAGTTTCTACCATAGGCTAATATATACTCAAAATCAATCCATCTTCTTTTCTCATAGTGGTGAAGATTGAAGATTTGGAGTAATTTTATCCACAAAAATTTAATTTGAAAGTTTACAAGAAAAGATGATTTGGGCAGTCCCTCTAGTGAAATCAGTTTCTGGTTTGATCTATGATCGTGGATATCAATGGGCTAGTATTGGCTCTTCAAGATTTGAAGTTCATTAATTTCATCCCTCTTTAACTATTCAAGGTCATTAGCCTAAAGTAACTGGTTACCTTTTAGGAAAACATTTAAGGGTAATTTTCTTGCTTCCAAAAGATTTCGATTTGCAGTGAAAACATATTGCATGCTATAAATCTATACAAGACCTGATTAGCAGGCACTAAATTACGTTTAGAAGAAAAATATGACTGGATCAGTTCCCCCATTATGGGTTCATGAATAAATTGCATGGTGTGCTTGTTTCCGATTCCAGGATGCAGTGAGAATGCCGAAAAGGTTTATATTACGCGTGGGAGTAGTAGTATGCTAGATTTAGCATTTTGGTAGATCAACATGGTTCTGTGGCGATTGGATAAGAACATGAATGCATTAGAAAGGACAGTTAAAAAAGTTGGATGTGTCTGAATTGATAAAACGATACCCAGATTTCAGAATTCCTAGCTAATGTCTTTAAAGGAAGAGGACATGCTGGTGGTTTTGTTTGTTTTGCTCTCATTTGTTTTGGTTTTGGTTTAATTTGTTGACAATGCCTCCACAAGCCGTCATTGGTCGTTGTCAATCTGTCCTATTTTGACTGGGGTATCTTTTCTGGCCCTGGGGACTTGTGTAAGAGGATCTTCATTTGCCAAACACACTTTTATGCCAAAGCAAACGTAACCACGTCGTGTGCGTAGGTAGTACAGATCAAGTGGATTAATGTAAGCGAATAATATGTTAGGGCTTCGCGTAGGATGACCTCCTGAGGAATACAGGGAACCAGCAATTACACGAGGAAAATGCCATCCCCAAATGCATGGGTGTAAAATATGGCTTGAAAGGATGCCTGCGTTACCATGTTAAAAAATGAAAGTCACAAACACTGTGGTTTGAGAAAAGAGGACAGAAAAAGATTTCTCCTGTGTCTATTCTGCATTTTATCCTGAAACACCGGACTCCGCAGAGGAAATCAACAAGGAATTTTGTGACGAAGAGAAACAACATTCCCTATAAGGCCTACGCCGATCGCCTTTAATGCCTATGTGTAACAATCCCTTATCTGATTGATATGAGAGTTATTAAGGTGGGCAGTTTTTTATTCTTCAAAATTGGAGCACGACCGCTCGGCGAATCAGTCGCTGTATAGTTTGTTCCCAGATACATGCGACAGTTACATAGGTCGACATTGAATATGTGTGTCTCAAGACATACCTGTCTGGCAAACGTTCTAAGGGGCCAACTGTCTTAACGTCATGGACACTGTGTGTCACCTTCTTGATTGAAGGAGTTTTATCACCGCTGCCACTCGTGTGTTTTGTGACTGTCTTAGATGAGGGAAACGTCTGTCTGCGAAAAGCCAACTTTGTAGTTTCTTATCTCAATTCCTTTTGGTTATATGAACTATTTTATCCAATGGAGGCCACTGTAGTTGAAGGGCTCAACACAACTGTCAATGAGGCTAGTGTCGTCCAACATGAGACTGTAACTCCAAATGGCAAAACGACAGCGTTACGTTGCTGAACAGCACTGTTTCATTTACTATCAGACCTCTTCAAGCTTATCTTTAGTACAATGAAAGTTATGATGACTATGCCGCCAATTCCAGTATGCGAGCAAACTTGTCGACTGAATACCCTACGATTCTGCCTGAACCACACCAAATCCCGCCAAATCTTGTTCTCAAAGTTGTGCTTTGTACA